GTGGGGTTGGGGGGGCTGGAGACATAGTGTGTGGGGGTCTTCCTCTTGGCTGGTGCCTTGGCATGCTGAGGCTGGCAGGAGGCTGTGGTGTAGTTGGGCTCAAGGATGTACTCCGAAGCCCTTCCTGGAGGTTGGACATCTTAATCTGCTTTTGAAGGGCGGCAGAAGCTGTGCTGTCCAGTCCAGGGAGTTGTTTGAGCAGGGAAGGGCATGCAAGAGGCAGAGAAATTAGGGTTTTTTCTTCCAATGAACACAGCAGTGTGTAAGTCGTCCAGGGCTATCTGTGCTGCTGCTGCCACCTCCAGGATGGAGCCCAGGAGAGTTTGTGCTGGTAGCTGCTGCAGCAAGCCAGCAGTGGCTGCTTGCTTCAGGAGGCACCTGGGTGCTGCTAAAGTGTAGGATGAAGCTATTTCAGAGGAAACGTCAATTCGAAGTGATCTCTGCCCTGGAAGAACTTTGGGGCCACGAGAGTAAGTAGATGCTCCACCCTTCCCTGCAGTCAGTAGGCGTCTTTGTTAAATTCCCCTGAGCAGAAGATACCCTCTGATCTCCTGGAAGACAGATTTTTCCTTTCTGTGGTTCTGGGGTGTGGAACCTAGAAGACAAAAAAATAAGGCTCAGCTTAAACACCTCTGCATCCAGTTCTGCTGCTGACCAGAGGCTGTGCTGGGACAGGCTGGTGCAGCTTCCCAGCCCAGGACATCCCTGCAACAGGATGAGTGCCACTTGCCTGCTACAACTGGCTGATGTCCGGAAGAAACATCTCAGCACTGAGTCTCCAGGCTTAAATGTGCTTCTCTGCGTGCCTGTGGTCGAGGAACAAGACCCTTAATGACAGGGTCATGGATCTTGTCTTCCCCCCAGGTGACCCCTGATGCCCTAGTCTACAGTATGAGCTTAAATTACAACCCAGGTCCTACTGGCAACCCTGTGATCATCCGCACCAGCCCTGCTGTGGTTCCTGTTGAGTGCCACTACCCCAGGTGAGCCAATGCCAATGAACCCCAAGCAAGTCCTTCTGCCACAGAGCATTTAACTACAGACACCTCTTCCCCAGGAGGGGCAATGTGAGCAGCAACGGTGTCAAGCCCACGTGGACTCCCTTCCGCTCCACCCTGTCCTCTGAGGAGAAGATGACCTTCTCCCTGCGCCTCATGAATGGTAGGTTTGGGATGAGGGTCTTCTCTGGTGCAGGGCAGCCTGGGCTGGTCTTTGAGCTGGCCGTGCTTCCACTGGTGTTGGTATCACCCCAGTGTTCCTGGAGAAGCTGGGGTGTGGTGCTGTTCTGGTGATTACTTGGGGCCTTGAGCTTGTTGGGGGTTTCCTTGGGTGGAAGCAGTGAAGCACAAGCTGGCTTTCCATTCATGAGTGCATGGTGACTTCTTTCTTTCCAGACGACTGGAGCACTGAGAGGGAGACTGCGTTATTTCAACTGGGAGAGGTCCTCCGCTTCCAGGCTGGTGTCAGTGCAGAGAATCATGCACCTCTGAGGCTCTTTGTGGACAACTGTGTGGCCACCCCGACCCCAGAGAGGAGCTATTCTCCACAGTATGCCTTTATTGACTTCAGTGGGTAAGAGCTGGCTGTGCCCTTATTTAGAGATGCCTTTCTGCAGATTATGGATCTCTCTGACAGAGGGATCCTGCTGGTCCTTGCTTTTGCCCCTAGGTGCCTGGTGGATGGGCAACTAGATGATGCCACCTCGGCTTTTATATCTCCGAGACCCAGGCAAGATGTGCTTCAGTTTGCAGTAGATGCATTCAGGTTTGCAGGAGACTCCAGCAATCTGGTAAATCCTTCTGAAAGCAAATGAAGTCCCTTGTCTAGATGGGGGTTATGGCCTCACTCCATTAAAGTTCATGTGGTTTTGCCTGGAATTATATTCCCAAGGCAACTGCCTCATAGCATAGGCATGAAATCATCCTGTATTACTGCTTCTGGATAATGGCCCTCTGAGCCAAGGGTCTTCCTTGGAGACCACTTTTGTCACTGGTCAAGACAAGCCCTTGTGATGGGCTTCAATGGCTGAATCCTTAAGTGGCTTGAAGGAAGCAGAGTGACTTGAGCTGCCCTGGGGAACTGGTGGTCCCAATGGAGACCAACTTTATAGCGTGTGGGAAAGACAGATGGCAACCTAAACCCTCTGCTCTACCTGGCCTCCCCAGATCTACATCACCTGCCTCCTGAAGGTGTCCTTGGCTGACCAGGCTCCAGACTCTCTGAACAAAGCTTGCTCCTTCAACAAAGTCAGCAACCTGTGAGTACTTGGGACAGCAGCTTGCCCAAGGGTGAAGAGCTTGGGCTTCTTATCTGGTGTGTCACCTTCCAGGAAGGTGAGGTTGGCCATTTGGGTGGGCAGGGTTCAATCTCTCCTAGGAGACCCCAAAGCATGTGAGGGATTCCTACTGTAGGGTGGGCTGGTCACCAGGCTCTCTTCTAGCTGGGCTCCTGTGGAAGGCACCCAAGATGTCTGTTCCTGCTGTGAGATGCGGAGCTGTGGCTTGGCCAGGCACTCCAGGAAGCTCCACATTCCTTCCCGAGGGCAAAGAGGACGAGGACGTGTCCGCAGAGAACTGCCCTCTCAGCTTGGTATGTCTCTGTTCCCCTTGATCTGGGGCACCTTCATGGTGACTTGCTCAGAGCTGGGTGGCTGAAGCTGCCTCACTACTGTTGGCTTATCAGTGGTAATCCAAGATTTTGGAGAGCTAGTCTGGACGCTCAAAGGTCCGTCCTTTCAGGTCCCTTGGTGAAAGAAGCGGATGTTGTTGTTGGACCTCTCTTCATCCATAGCTGGCAGGATCACTCAGTTAGGAGGATGCCCCCACAAGGTAGGGCAAACCCAGAGGGGGTAGTTTGTGTGGCAGATCCCAACTTTTGACCATAACCACCTTCTTACTTCTCCTTTCTAGATACAGATCACCTGTGGATGGTATTTGTGCTGCCTGCAATTGTGAGCTTGCTCATCCTGATCCTTGCTGTTCTAGGAGCTCTGACTGTCTGCTAGAAACCCAGCAACCCTGTTTAAGTCACTGGTTTCAGCTTTTATAGTCTATACAATGAAAAATAAAGGACTGAGAGGCTTGGTGGGGGTGAGAGTGGAGAAGTTATCCTGGAGAGACAGATGAATCAGATCTTCATGCTAACTTTACCTGTGGTTCTTTACCTCCCCAAATGCACTTGGAGCATCTTGTTCCCCTGAAGCCATGTCCTCAGGAGAGCTTTGTGCAGTCTGGCACTCCCACAGACCACTCCTAGAGAGCCTAGGTGGGCACTAAAAAAAATTGCCATCCAGATGGTCTTTCTTCTCTGTAGAGGTGTGGAGTTGTGTTTAGCCTCAGATCATTTTACCTTTCTGTGGAGCTACCTGGGTCTGCTCCATACCTGTAACTCCTTACTCAAGAAGGGTTTAATAAAACTTGGATCACTCTCCTCATGACTGAAGTTGTTCCTGGAGGAGAAATCAAGCTTTGCTGGATGAGGCAGGGAGCACAACTCAAGGTTTGGTGAGTTGGGCTCTTCCTGGCACAGACAGGCAGGAATTCCAGGCCCAGCCCCAAGGACTGTTTACACATAGTTCTGTGTAACAAGCCTTGGCTGAAATGTGTAAACAGTCCTTGGGGCTGGGACTGGAATTTCTGCCCACACTTCCACCCCCGTACCCCTTCCAGAAAGGGGCTTTCTGATATGCCTGGGTCACATTTGTTACATGGTTTTTTTTCTCTCCTCCCTCTGCTGTGAAACTTGGTCTTTTCTGCTCAGTAGAGCATCTGTAGTAGCAAGATGTTCATGCACCAAATCCAAGACATGTTGCTCTCCACTAGCTGGGAGAGGTTTCCACTCTAGGCAGCGTTGGCAACTGGATATCTTGGGCTGCAGTGTTTGTTGTCAGAGCAAATTCGCGTGGCTGGATTCATGGACAACAGAGCTGCAAAGGGCTTGGGCTCACTGGCAGCATGGCCACCTTTTCAGCTGGTTTTGCAAGGGGCAGGAGGACTTCTGCAACCTCTTAGCCTGCTCTGGGAGAGCTCGGACTGCTCTCCTCATGAAGGACAGAGGAAAATGGTGTATTGTACAACCTCATATATGTATTTAGGCATCACCCAGCAACCTGCAGACCCTCAGCCAGGTGTTCTTTGGTAGATGTCACCTTGCAGCGGTGTCTTTTTAGTACAAGATGCCAAGGTGGACTTGAGGCTTTGGGCATCCTAAACCCCAGTCCCCTCCCCTTGGATCTAAAAGCAAATTAATCCTCTCTCAAAACTACCAGATGAATTCTGGGTTGGGAGAGGGAGCTGCACTGACTTTGAGTTGGGGCTCTCAATGTGGCATCTTTTCTCATCCAGATGATCTGACCCTTGGTGGAGGGGGTTGGTCCTGCTCTCTCAGCAATGTGTGAGGGTAGGAGCTTTTAGGAGGAATATCTGGAAGAAGTCTTCCCCACCACCTGAGAGCTGTGAGCTATCTGCTTTTGGGGAGGAAGGTTGAGGAGGAGGGCATCGAAACATGAGTGGAAGGCTGCACAGCCTTCCTGGAGAAGTATTTTCTCACCCAGCCTGAACTTCCTAGATGTGTTAAATTTTCACATAACTGATTCCTTCTTGATCAGCATCATCTTTAGATTTTCCATGCCCTGACTACCCTTTGGCACACATCCTCTGGGCAGGGTCTACCTCTCTGGTCTGCTGAGACATGCAGAGGAGTATTTTAAATGCAAAGCCTTCTCTCTGCCACTCAGCACAGCCCTTCAATCAAAACAGCTCAGCTGGCTCCAGAAAGACAGGCAAACATCAGCCAGATCTGATCTACAAGAGAAGTGGGGCTGGAGAAATGCTCTCTGGTGTTATGGAGCAGCCATCCCCCTTCAGCAGCTCCTGCCCCCTTCCAGGCAGCAACCCAGGCTCCGAAGAGGCTCAACAGCAGCACTGACCTTGCTGTCTGGTGATATTTTTGCCTTAAAATTTTGTGTTATAAGGAAAAATGAGATGTGCTTTAAAGTCCCTCTCATACCGTTGGGGAAAAACATGCAGGTTTGCACTTGTCCACTGCCCTGGGACTTTCTGGTCTCTGCCTGCTCCAAAAAATAGCTCCACGCTCTTTCCCAGCTGAGCTGGGTGGAGTGTCATGTTGGAACAAAGATGGGACAGCTGGTCCTGGCAAGGGCTAACCTGGGAGCAGAAATCCCCTTTTTCATAGAGAAACTCCTCCTCTGCCCTATGTCTGGGCACGTTTCTCCACCTGGGATTCACCTATGCTCACCTGACCCGTGGGGAGGGATTTATTCTGCTTGGGATCAAGCCACGGTCCCCAGAGACCCAGATCCCTGAGCCACGTGAGGCTCTCCAGGATGGAATGGGGTGAGAGCAGGCATCTGGCGTGGTCCTTGCAGCCAAGGACCTGGCTGAGTGGTGATGTTCGCCCAGGCTCTTGTTTACTGATCCAGCATCGCCCGCTGCCGTTATCGCCCTGACGCACGGGGCTCAGCCTGCTGCCATCCCTGGCATCCCTACGCAATCGCCAGCCTCAAGGTATTTTAAACATGAAGGAGAAATCTCAGACCCCCCGACAGCAGTGGGGTTGGGGCATCGACTCCTGGGGGGAAAGGCGGAAGACTTCACACTGGCCTGTAAAGCTTCACCGGGGTGGTTGGTGGGGGGGGGTGTTGAGGCAGATGCGAGCTCCAAACCCAGTGGAGTTTCTGCTAGGAGGGGGTCGGCTGATATCCACGCCTGAAACTTTCTGTTGATTTTTGTTTTCCCAGAAGTGGCTCGGCTGCTCCAGCTTAAACACCCCAAGTGGAGGCTTTCTACTCTCTCTGCAGCTTTGCCAGGAACATCCTGAAAAATGCAAGGGGAATCTGGGGCATGAAACCGAGCATCCCTCATACAGAGCCAAGGGGATGCTTGTAGACCCCTGCCAGGGAACAAGAGTTAAAGGTGCACAAAAGAAGGGGCAAAAACACTAATAATGAGGCTTGAAAACATACATTTTTGAGCAACTTTCCTTGTTCTCTAGCTGTGAGGAGCTGGGCAATGGGGGGGTAGGATGGGGAAGGGAGCGATGGATGGGGTGCCTCGCCTCCAGCTTCTTCTACCCTGACCTCGTTTCCTTGGAGGCAACAAAATGAACGAAACCCGATGAGCTGGGCAACAGAGATGAAAAAGAAAGTTTGCACCTTTGTCTGCAGCTAATGACCTCACTGCTGAGGCTGCAGTGGGGGTTGTTTGGCCCTGTCTGAGAATGGCCACGTTGTAGAGCCCTAACCACCACCACATCAGCTGCTATCTGACCCATCATCCTGGTCCTGGTGCTGCTGAGGAGCAGGGGGACAAGTAAAGCCCCTGTTTGGGCTGGAGCTGAGAGCACTTCAGCATCCCAGCAGAAAGCCAAAGTCCCAGGGGGTCCAACAGCCCAAGGCAGGGATGGGAGCCTCAGAGGGGCCGGGAAGTACCCGGATTGGGATCACAGACACTGATCTCCCCGCTCCTGTCACCTCCCTAGCAGCCTTGAAAAGCCCCTTATCACCTTATAACCTAAACAAGTCACTTTGTACCAGCCTCCCTGTCTCCAGCTTCTGCTGAGTTTTATAAACAACTTCCCCAAAGAGGCTGACGAGGATGTTTTCTCTCGCCTTGGGCAGCTCGGGAACAGGGGGTCTCAGAACCCCGGAAATGACTCGCTCATGCATCCACGAGGGCTGGCCTTTAGGTGCCATTGGTCCCCAACCAGGAGCCCAGGGGCGGACGGCTGCTGTTCCTGGGGGGATATAAAGGCCAGAGGAGCAGCGCTGCCTCTCTGTACCGGGGTTTCCTGGAAGAAGGAAGTATGGGGCCCGAAAGCAGCTTGATCCTTGCCCTCCTCTCCTGGGCAGCAGGCGAGGTGGCTGCCTATCCACCCTGGGATTTCTCCTGGGGTGACCCAGCAAGACGAGGGGCCCAGGCAGACCCCCACGGTTGGTCGTCCTGGATGGAGGACCCCTACTCTCGAGCCATCTCCAGCCAGCATCCGGTGACAGTGCAGTGCCAGGAGGCTCAGCTGGTGGTGACAGTGCACAGGGACCTCTTTGGCACCGGGCGCCTGGTCAACGCGGCCGACCTGACGCTGGGACCAGCGGCATGCAAGCATTCCTCGCTGAACCCTGCTCACAACACCGTCACCTTCACCGCCGGCCTCCACGAGTGCGGCAGTGTCGTGCAGGTAAGACCTTCTCCCCGTGGTGCTCCCCCCAGTCCCAGGATCCTGCCCAGCATCTGCTCCCTGGAGCAGCTCCAGCCTGCAGGACCGGGCAGCAGACAGCCCCCATGATGCCAGGGCAGCAGCTCTGGGTGCCAGACGCAGCGCAACATTGAGGAACGCACTCTGGGAAGGAGGTGCAGGTATTTTCCCCCAGACTAGAGGGGTTTTCCCCAAAGCTGCTTTGCACTTTCAGCCAGAGACTTGCCCGACAATGGTGCAAAGCCCCCCATGCCAGACCCTTGTGTTTTGGCTCATTAGGAAGTTTTATTCTCTGAGAACAGAGCAGGGCTCCTTCTCCACCCCTTTTCTCAGGCTTTTTCCTCCTCTCCCTAGCATTTCCCAGCTAGGAAAAGGTGGCTACGTGGCCCAGCAGTGGTGGGAGGTGGGGGTGGCCTCCCTGCCAGCTTCTCACCTCTTTTCTGCCCAGATCACACCGGATTCCCTCATCTACCGCACACTCCTCAGCTATGACCCTAGCCCTGCCAGCAACCCTGTCATCATCCGCAGCAACCCCGCCGTCATCCCCATTGAGTGCCACTACCCCAGGTAAAGGCTCCCCATCCTTGGAACTCCCTTGCCCAGTCCCTGTGGGCCAGCCTGGGGCCACGTCCTGATGCATGTGGTGGTCCTTGTCCAGGAGAGAGAACGTGAGCAGCAGTGCCATCCAGCCCACCTGGGCTCCCTTCAGCTCTGCACTGTCAGCAGAGGAGAGGCTGGTGTTCTCCCTGCGCCTCATGAACGGTAGGTGGGAAGCCAGCCCGACCTGCTGAA